GTGAACACTGAGAACTGCAGATTGAAATTAGTGAGTATATTGAAGTTTGACAGTGTTCCTTCCCAGTATGAAGTTCTCCGTACATTTTTCATTTCAGAGAACTAGCTGTGGAAGATGATGAAACATAAACAGCACAGGGCAAACCAGGCCTTTTAAATGAATGTGTGGGGCTGTGTTTAATTTGGAAGGAAACAAAGAGGAATATCCAGGGTCCAGGCATCTCCCTGAGACATAATCAATATCGTATATCTACTGCATTCAGTCAGGGATTGTAGGAAAAGGCCTTACTGCCACATGAAGGGGGCTGAGATGAACCTGAGATGTAGAATAGGCCTGTGCAATTTTGAATATATGCTTTTGAAAATGCTCTGTGTACCTTTCAGGCCCTGGGCTATCAGGGTGGTAGAATCTCCTTCCCTGTAAAATCTGGTCTTGTTGCCAACTGTTACCAGGCTGCCATGTAGACCTGAACCCACATTTGTGCAGCCATGTGGGCTACGTTTGCGAGATGATCTGAACCCTGTGCACTGTTTGCTGCCTGCAAGCACAGAGCTCTACTGCTGCAAGGGCAGCTGCCTGAATCTGTGTGTGTGCTAGCACTGCAGATGCGAGGTACCAGCTATTCTGCAGCTCTATCTGATTATACCCTTATGGAAACAAAGACTTCCCTCAGGAAGAAAACTCTTGGTTATACTACAAACTTCACTCTCCTTACAATTCACTAACAGAAGCTGAGCAGCTCTGATTTTTCTGATGCCTCTATTGCACCAGGGAATGCCTTTTATTGTGCCTGACCTGGGCCATCTAACTCATTTCAGCCAAACCTGGGACAGTACAAGCTGGGTACTGGTAGAGCTGACCCAATGTGGATGAGTCCATCCTATTTTGGAGGAGCGAGTGAGGAAGAGTGTCCCTTTTTGTACATGATATATGCTACTCTGCCTGTTCTCCGCATCCTCATCAATTTTATTTGGTAGCATGGACATAGCTGGCTTTGTGTTGATTTTGGCAACTGTTAAAATTTGTTCAACAAGATGAAATGGATGCTATTGTTGAAAGAAAGCCTGTCCAGAGGAATACATTAACCTTTGTATTTCCATAAGCTAAAACTCAGCTTATTCTTCCTGATCTCTCTAGAAACAGTGAAACTGTTTGGAAATTATTTAGAAAACTGTGGCAAGTATTCAGTTGTAATTATTTTTTAACAGTGCAATGCGCAGATAAAAGAAGATATTTTTGCAATGAATGCTGAAGCAGAAAACCACAAGTCAGCAACAGTCAAAATCCTGAATGACCTAGCAGTGCTTCATGGTAACATGTTAATAATGATTTCAAAACAAAAAAGTTTTATTTTTAAAAGAATATGTTTCAGTCCTTATGTCTTTTTTTGGCACAGCAATCTACCACATTTTAACTGTTGTCTCTGTTGTAGATCTTCTTCTGAAGGGATGGTCAGAGGAGAGATTGATTCAAAAGGTGAATTTCGATTTTCTATCATATGTTTTTGCATAAATATATTTCAGTTACCATGTAAAAAATAAAATTTCATATTGCAAATAAGGCACTACAATCTTTAAAGTCATACAGGAGCAAAGTATTAAACCTATGTTTTCCAACACTGTATAGAAGTCCTGGCTATAAAAATAATTTTTCCCAATGTTGTTCCTTTTGCTGGTCTTATATTCAAGCCTTACTTAAACGTGTACATAAAAACAGTTGGGGATAGCCTTCATTTTGAACAGGAATTAAACCAAACTATCATGTAAGTTTTTCTCCAGTTATTCCATCAGAAAGTCAAACTGCTTTTTTTATGCAAGGATTGGGTAGTTAATGGAAAAACTTCCTGCAGGGTTACAGGTCTGGTGGCCAGTCAAGCTGTGGGAAAACATGACAAACAAAACAAGTTTCTTAACATTTTGTGAAGGTTTTGTTTGTTTAGGTTTTTTTAAAGAAAAAATAAATTCTACTCTGTGTCTTTACAGGAATTTCTGGAGAATGAGCAGGAAGTACTGAACGCAGTGACAGCTCTAACAAGAAAAATTCAACAACGAGAGGAGAAGATTGGTGATATTAATAGGAGGCTACAAAATAAGCTGGAAGGACTGACTTCTCTGTTTGACAAAAAATCTAGAATGGATGATCACTTAAAGATACACTAAACTTTTTTCCCAACCTTTTAAAAAGTTTTTTCTTCTTCTTTTTTTTAAAATCCCAGAATATGTTAATTCTTAGCAGTTTGTGATAAAACACAAGTAGTACAGCCATGTTCTATCTGATAACTTTGCTGCAGATTGAGACCTAGTGGTACATTTATTAGAAGAACTAGGCATGCTTTATAACACAGCCTGGATATCATCATCTTTAATTTCCACTTTCTAAAGGGTTGTGATAATAACAGTGAGGGGGTTGTAAAATAGTCTGAGCATCACTGGTCTCTCCAGAACTATATGTTTGCTTTTCCACAAAGGGTAGATAAAGCTAACAGACCCCCAAATCCCACAGGTTGTGGTATATGGTTATCACTATAGGACTATATGGTTGATTATTGTTTATGTTCTTTAGAATTTTACATGTGGGCAATTTGTACTGCTGTTTTCATTTAAATGAACAATATTCGGTACTCGTGTCTTGGGAAGAGGTGATATTACACAGGGGCCCTGGGTGCATACAATCACTTGCTTCAGGGCCTCCTTTTAACTCAGACCTATAGATACCTGCTTTACTTGTTGGTTCACAGAGGTCTCATTTGTAATGAGTCACAGGTTTGGTCACTGAATGACCATTGTCTTGTTCAGAATCTGTTTTTATAAATATTAAAGCTGAAAGGCTATGACATACAGGCTGCTTTGAAATCATTGGGTGCGGGTAGTGTGGCAGGAAACCAGGGAAAGGAATGATGAATTTTCAGAGGAAGGGAATGGCCCTGGAAGGAAGTCAGGCAGAGAGGGGAAGGATGGTGAACATACAGCAGAAGAGAATACTGTTTCATCTGAAAGCCAGCACCAGTATTATTTTCTGTGTCAGTTGTGCAGGGCAGGTTCCTTCATGAGGAACCTGCACAAAAACATTGCTTAGTCATTCAAAACTGCATGTATTTATTTAGCTGTGTCTACCTAACTCTTTGGCTGCCATTACATTTTTTTAATGCTAGTGAGAGAAGGTGATAAAAAGAGTTTATTAATTTTTATTTTACATTCCAGGTTTTGCTGAAGGCTAAAGCACTGGAGCCCAGCAGGAAGGTCAGTGTTTGGATGCATGGTCCACAGGGCACACTGCCTTCCTGTAAGCTCTGCTTTTAATAGAGTCCCTCATTCTGCAGCCTTCAAAATCAACACATGATTCTCTAGACCTATCAAAAGATGTACGCTTTACTACAGCTAACATTACCTAGGGGTTGTTGTTACTTTTTCTTTTTAAAAACAAGATATAGCCCAACATTTAAACCCAATACATATAGTCCATACACACATAAAAGTGTGCAGTCCTTAGTACCACACCTTTTCAAAGGGCTTTTCCAGGACGGTGCTGCACTGGCTGCTCACATGCCTACAGTGCCTGTACTGATGTGACAGTTGTGCAAATGTAGACACAAAACTGTGTTTAGGACGTTTTAAAGAAAAATAGGCCTATGACTCAGTTATGGAAATGGTATTTTAACACATGACTTTTAAAACCATACTTTTAGAACTGTTGTCTAGATTGTGTCTGCAAAGTACATATTGTATATAGCAGTATAGACAGCATTTGATTTCCTTAAGATCAATTACTTCCTTAATCCCTAAATAAAACCTTACTTCTGCATGCAAGACCTAGTTTGTTTGCACACTATTTTTAGAAGCAGTGAACTTGTCAATTGGCATTTCAAAGGAAAAAAGCTATCATCAGGAAAGACGTTCAGATGTAATGGAGAAAGAGGAGAGCGACATCTCGAGGCAGCCTGGCTGAGATGACACCCCTCAAAGCCCCTGAGCTGCTGGCAGGCTCTGTCCTTACCAATGTTGATAGGTAATAGAATAGAAAAGGCATTACTGTCGCACTTAAATGTAGAAATACACAGTTATTTGTACTGCTACAGCCAATGATCCATACATCAGGAAGAGTTTAAATTAAGATGACTCTTCCCTCTGTGTTTAGACCTTCAGCACTGCTCTGCATCTTCTTCTAGACCCTAACATACAGGATACGTGCTTTGGGTATCTTCCTGTACAATTCAGAGAGAAGGCTAGAGTCTGTCACTTCTGAACAGCCTCAGAAATTCTAGCAATTCTTATCAAGGTGTTCACATGAAGTATAGATTTTGATGAATGTAGAGCAAAGATAATGGTATCTTTTTAAGGAGATAAGCAATCTCCAATTCTTTTTATTAAATCTGTGCTGGTTTTGTACCTCAGTCACTCCAGCAGTTTCTGTCATTGCAGCGGTGATATACTGCATAAAGAGCTGTTCTTTTCTCAGCTGCTGAACTCCACTCCTGCCTGACCACTGCTCCTGCAGTAGTATGGGTACAGCTGTGGCCACACAGAGAGAGACGTGAGCAGCTGGCACCACCAATACACAGGTGAAACGGGCACGAAGCCCTCTCACAGGAGGAAGCTAAGGTGACTGTGCTGAAAGGTGCAAAGAAGGCTCTACCCAGACGCAGTGAACAGATGCTTCACAGGCTTACCCGCAGCAAGTGGGTTGCTGACAACTACCAGAAAAAGAAAATCTTTGATCTTAGATGGAAATTTATAATCAAAGTATAAGAAAATGGCTTTAGGGGGAAGGGTACTACTACTGTTTAATCTTCTCCAGGAAGAGGTCTCCATACATGAAGTACACAGAGCATAAACTATAGAGAACTTTACGCCTTTCCTTTCCTTCTACCTAGCAGTCAGACTAAAGCATCATGAGGAATCATGCTTAGCATGATTTATTTTTTGATGGAAGAAAGATAAAAGTCTGTTTTCACTGGTGGGGGATAGCAGCTAGAGTATGTGATGAGAAAGCTCTATGGTATATTCAAGCCCTATTTGTTTTACTGAAAGTCTATTGAAAACCAGGCTCTATTGTTTTATTCAAACACCACCTAAAATATTGTATTAGGAAATAAACATATACAAGCAAACTGCTGTACTAGAATGTGGCACAGGCTTTTTATACAGATTCACAGTGATAAATAGATGCAAAGACATTCCCTTTGATCTATACGAGACACAAAGAATACAAAGTGCAGCTTTTTAACATTACACAGTCTCACTCAGAGGTGTTTCACCTAGAAGTCTTGTACATAAATAACTTCTTTTAAAACAGAAGTTTCCAAAGTGTAACAAGTACTAAAATTGCTTAATCCAGATCGTTAGGACAGCGTTGTTGGCACAGGCTCCTTTTAATGTCCATTTCCACCTTCTGAGAGTATGCGCGACGGCTCGGTGTACTTCGCTGTCACTAAGTAGAAGAGGGCAGGTGCAGGTACCAAGGCAAGCAACGGCAGGTCCTGCTCAAGCTTATCCAGTTTGGAAATGGAGATGATTCCATAAGCATGAAGTAACCAGTGGCTGAAGAGGACAACAAGCCTTTTCTTCCTCACAAGAAGATCCTTGAAAGACTTGCAAAATAAAGAGAGTATCCTGTTAGCATTCAGCCTGTTACCTAGTCCCTGATGTTTAAGAGATGTTCCTAGGTAGCGCAGAGACACTGTGGGAAGCCTCCTGGGTTTGAGACCTTCCTGTACATAACACAGTTTCTCAGTGCGCCACAAGAGGGAACTCTCGCAGGAGCTTCTGCCTCCAGCTAAGAGGAGAAGTCATAAAGGAAGAGGTTTAAACGCAGAATACACTGCTGAGAAAAGGCAAGAGACAAAGTGGTCTCTGCTCATTCCAGTATTTTATATTATGAGTTTTAACATAGGAAACACGTTTACCTACCTCCACTTCAGAAGCAGACATGTACACAGCCAGTGTAACCAAAGACAACACCAGTATGATGTATGGGAAGGCATAATCTAAAGGCAAACATTGAACACATGAGCAGGAAAAAGAACATGATAGACATTGCAGAAGAGAGAGTTTTTCCGCATATAACCATGGGTGTGAAGTAAACTAAGCTACTACAGCCTGCCTCTTATCATCTCATCGAACACGCACAGCAGTAAGGGTCCAATACAACTATTCAACACTTTCGTCTTAGGTTTTCAAACTTTTTCTAATATTTCTAGGTGGAATTACTGTACACTTAAATCACTAGTTGAAAAAGGCAGATAACGAGAAAAGTAGTCAGGCTGAGTGGGGATTTTGCGGCACCTGTCCTCTTCAAGTGACAAGTATGCCGGAAGCTAAACCAAAAATAGCTATCTCCCCAAACTTATACTATAAGCCATCTCTGAAATCAGACAAACTCTACCTTAGCAGGAAGTGGAATTAACTCCCTCTGAGGTAGTTTCCTCTCATAGCCCCTCTACTCCCTTTCTGGGAAAAGGACAGTCTCTAGCAGCACTGGCAGAGGCAAAGCAGTGTTGGTCAGGAGCCTCGTTAGGACAGGGCTACTACTGAGCAACATTTTCAGGTAAGACTCCTCACAATAACCTTAAACAATGTCCATATTCTCAAACCAAAAAAGTGTCATGTCCCTTCCCTCCCTCCCATAAGTCATTTGTTTGTGTGTGTTTATAGGTGCATTTATGAGTGTTACTAGGAGGGAACTCACAGAGCAAGCCTCCTCCAACGGCCTGAAGCACGGTGAGGATAGGAAAGAAGTAGAGCGCTGCATAAATGCTTTTAAATCGATCAGACTTTCCTAAACCACAGGCAATTTTCTTAACCAGAAGAGGCCGAAGTAGCATCATTAACACAAGACAGAAGGCGTAATATATAAACACAATGGTGTACCTGGGGGGGGAAAAAAAAAAAAAAAGAAATTCCTTAAAACATGCAGTTCTTTTTCTCCTGCAGACTCAACTCAGAACCAGAGAGTTTGGGGTTAGAGTCAGTCAAGTCTAAAGAATTTAAATCAAAGGATGTAAACACAGAATGACGGGTTCACTTTTCCTAGGGGAAACGGTCAAGATGCAGCAAAGGGGAAAAAAAAGGAAGTCTTACGCTTCATAGCTAAATAGCCTGGACAATGCCACCTTCTTCGGTGGCTCAGAAAGTCATTAGGTGTTGCTAAGTGTTTCACACATAAAACAGCTCAATGCATGAAAGACTTCAGGGGACTGATACTCATTGGTCTGAGTTATATCTGAACACTTTTTGCAGCTTTGAGAAGAGGCATAGACAGAAACATGCTTGTATAAAAGGAAGGGACAGTCAGGAGCACAAATGCCTTTAGACTCACAGGGGATAGACTGCTTCATGAGTGCAGTGCACCGTGGTGATGTAGTCAGGACTTGGGTTGTAAAGCATCGTGTACCAGTCCGAAAGCTTCTTCACCTTGCAGGAGCGGATATGCAGAGAGCCGACGGGGTCACTGACGAGCAGCGTAACAATTGCTGCAATGCTGCACTCGAACAAGGCGGTGACGTGCTGCAACAATGCGCTGGAGCTGTGGAAGGAAAAAGAGAGATTTACTACTAATGTGCTAAACCTATAGGAAATTCAAATGCTGACTGGGAAGTGGAGGCCCATGCAGTACAGAACCTTCTACAGACTTACTATTCCCTGTGACCAAGGTTAGGACAACTCTGAATAAAAAGTTAAGTATTTGAAGCTGAATATGAAAACTCATTTACAATCTCAGATGATTTAGTGTGCAAAATGTGATTGAACAACATTCCAGCTTCTTAAATGAAAGCTTGCTGTAGCATAAGCATCCTGTCAGGTGAGGGATGACAACACTCATGCTCTTGCAGCTTCAAAGAAAGCAGCAGTGAGGACAAGACACAACACGTCTCAGAAGGGATAACATTGTTACATACGATATAAGTAAAATTTTCAAAGCTGCAAGTCCTTGTTAAAGATGGCATATAATAATATATTAAACTCTCTCAGTCCCCTATGTTTTCAGCATTTAGTACACTCCAGAGTCATTACTTCTTAAAAGTTCCAGTATGGCACCCAATGGCCACATGTAGTGTGGTTTTAAACTCCTTTTTTACAGAACTTCCTTGATGCACCATGCTGACGTAAAGGTTACATCAGCTATGCTATAAAGGACCAAACCCCAGTATACATATTCCTAAAGAGAAAACTCAAACTCATTCTCTCATTGCATGGGTGCAGCACCGCTGATCTGGGCCTCTGCAGGTGGCAGGCCTGGCCCAGGAGAGAGGGGATACACACTCTTGCCCGCTACTGGGAAACTCAATCCAGCCCAAATTGCCGGAAGGACCAGCCACCACCACATTAAAGAGATACGGACCATCTCCTGAGGGCAGTGACTGGCAAGAAGGACCCGCAGGACTCTTGTATTTGTAAATAACCCTGCCCCCCTCCCGCTGCCCAAAGCTTATGTGCTACCATATCAACTCAACCAGCAGCATGAACTGCTGCACAGTTCAATTCAGCATCTCAGGTTGATCACTCATGGATACGAGATTTCCATTTTTAAATAACTTATCTGAAGAAGAGGTATACGAACCTCTTTTTTCCAGAATACCATTCAATAAAGAACCAGTGTAAAACCAGGGGAAGCATGGCCATGAAGCCAAGGTACAGCCAGTCATAGCGGTCTGGAGAACCCATACATTCCCGGCAGATTTTGTTGTCATCGGTTCTTTGACCTCTAGGGCATACCTACAAAAAGCAGAGACTGTGTTAACAAAGCATCTGAGTACCAATAACGAATCATTGTGGTTCCTAGAAAAACAGCCTGAAGTAGTACTGGGGCAAGAAAAGTATCAGATTTTTAGAGATGAAACATTAACCCCAGCCATTTCTCAGCTTACACTGGCCTTGCTCTCTCTGGCTATTGCGTCTTAATATAAAGAAAGGTGAAGCATGTTTAAAAGGCTTCATCCAAGACCCCTCTTCCTCTCCTGCTATCCTGTTATCGCTAAGCTCACTCACCAGGCCGCTCACAACCACTGCCCCCCAGAGTTTCTTGCTCCCCGTTTATTCCACCCTTCCTGGATCTTGCTCTCCCTTAGTACTCCAACAAAATCTGCAGGCAGAGTGATTTCAGCACAGCTCTCTGTACCATCCCATTCTCTTCCAGCTTTCACAGCCCCTGCGCTCAGCTCCGTTAGCACCGAGCCTTCAGCACCTCCTTCGGGAAACGCTTCATCGAGCAGCTCCTGCTTTCGGTAAGGGAGCTCTGCCCGCCCTTTGCAGCCTCATCTCCCCCTGATCCCCAAGGCACCTCGGGGCTGGGCTGCGGGACACGGTGCTGCTTACAGCGGGATCCGCATCAGCCTCCGCAGCGGTGCGGTGCGGTGCGGTCCGGCCCGCGCTGCCGATGCCAGGCCCAGCCCGGGAGGGACCGGGGCCATCCCCCCTCCCCAGGCCGAGCCCCTCTGGCGCCTCACTTACCCCGCAGTCCCCGTAGGTCTCCACGGATCCGTTGACCGACAGGACGGTCCTGCCGCAGTACAGCCCGAGGCAGGCGGGCTGGATGTCCACAGCTGCGGGGAGAGCGCAGCCCGCGTTACCGCGGCGCTCCGATATGATTCGGCAACCCCCCCCCCCCCCCTCGCACACGGCGGCTCCCCCCGCAGCCGAGAGGCACCGAGCAGCACCCCGGCCCGCTCCAACCGCTGACAACCCCCCCTTTCGATTCCCCATCCCTACTCCCATTCGGGTACCGCCGGGCCCGCTGCCCCCGGCCCGGCCCGTCCTACCGGAGCGGAACATCCCGGGAACCCAACAACAGGCCCTCCCGCTCCGCCGAGCTACTTCCGTACGCGCCACTTCCGCTTCCGACGCGGGGACACGCTCTACACCCCCCTCCCTTCGGAGGACCGCGGTGTGGGCGTGGTCACGCCCAAGGGGCGGGATTGCTCCGCCCATGAGTGAGGCCATACGCAGGGGCGGGATTGCTCCCCCTCAGGGGGGCGTGGCCGCGGGCTGGGGGGCGTGGCCCACGTGGTCCCCGCCCCGTCCCCCCGGGGCGCGGGTGATGGCGGCGGCGGCGGAGGCCGGCGGGGTTTGTGCGGGCCGGCGGCTG